CCAGATAAACTTGTAAGAATTCTGTACAAATAAAAAAGAGGGACAGAATTAAAGAGAGAAATGAATAACTAGATTGACGAAAGAAAGCACTATTTTTAAGAGATAACGTGGTGCTCAGAGCACAAAATTGAAGTGTTAAAAGATGAATATTTATGAGCCTTTTCGCAATAATGTTAGGTGGGTTTCACTGCCTTAGAAGTTCAAAACTGAACAGTGTTGGTGTGAGACAGTAACAGTGAGGCATAATAATGAGTAATAATGAGTAATATCATTAGATGGATTTCACTGCGTGAGAATTTTAAAACTGAACAGTGTTGGTGTGCAGATGGTATTACCCAATGGATGGAGTCCACTTTTCAGTGCAGACAACTTTCCCTTCAGGGAGAAGCCAATTTATTTAAAAAAAAGTTACAAAATATTCCTGTCTGCTCCTTATTTAAATGAAAATAGCATTACTGATCTCCCTTGCCAGTGTACCATTTGATGCATACCACATACCATTAAAACTTATGTTTGTACATACAATTAAAACTTGTATATACAATTAAAATTCAGTTATAGAAGGGATGATGATGATGATGATGATGATGATGATGATGATGATAGTAACAGCAGCATTTGGACAATCAATAGCATTTCATCATAGCCTGCCAAAACTTGACTTGCTAGTATTATCCCAGGAAATTCACTTATTTTGTTAGCAGTGAGGGTAATTTAACACCCCTTTTAAAGAAATGGTCTGGCTTGGATCCATGATAATAACATTGGACTAGATAGGCCACTGAAAGTTTTGTCAAAACATAAACAAAAGTTTTCTCTTGAATCAGTCTATTGGTCCAGCACTGCTGGCAACATTGACTAGCTGTGCATTTCCAGATTTCATGAAGGGGGTTTCCCCACTTTACCTCCTGATCCTGGGGATTGAGCCTAGGAAGCATCTTTGGCATGTAAGGTATCCGATATACCATATACAGTGCAATATATGGGGAAGAAAGACCTCTTGCTTGCTAAAACTCAGAATGATCTATGTTTCCTTGGCAAACTGAAGCCTATCTGGACAGAGAGGATATAATGCGAATATCTGCCCAAAGTTCCATGATCTGTACTCTTCGCTTTGTAGCTCTAGTTATGCTACCAGTTATAGCCCTACAGTCCAGTCCTACATCTTTGCCAACTACCAAAATGAACATTCTGGATGGAAACTCTGTATTAACCCAGTTCCACAAATCTTTATGTTTTGCCAGATTTATAGTGGCTTGCTCTGCCGTCCACAAGCCAGAAATCAAGGAAACTTGCCTTATTTTCATCATCCAAGCATCTGTCAGGCATAAAACACAGAACATGCATGATTTCCCACAGCTATGCATTCCAAATCAACAAAAGTGTGTGTGTGCGCGTATGTGTATGTATATGTGTGTGTGCATTGGGAAGGGGCGGGGGGTGGCTTTAGAGCCAACTATAATGATTCCTTAGAAAGGAAAAAAAGTTTGGGGATTGGAGAATGATGGGATGGTTAGAAAGGACTCGCTATGAGACCTGTGGCTTTTCTTAAGACATGGAATAGCACACTTCCAAAAAAGGAAGAAATCTACTTTGTGGCTAGCTAAAGTATCTTTTGTGCCATTCATTTAATTTTGTATCCAGTTTCAGAGTGTCATTATCTGCATGCATATCACAAGATATATCATTTGACAGTGAGGCAAAAATATGTGGATTTCTTCCAAAAATATTTTGAATTGGAGGGAAAGTAATACATATTACAGCTGTAGCTTAAATTATGGAAGACTAGATTTTTGTGCACTAGAGCTTATTCCCATGAATAAGATGATAGGGCTTCCAGTGCATAAAAGTTTATACCATAATAAATCTGGAAGTGTTTAAGTGTTTAACACCCTGACTGCTAGTTACTATTTTCCCACTACAGCACAAAACTAACTAAACTGGTTTCCAAAATAAATAGGATGGATTTCAGTGAGTTAGCAGGATAATTAAATCTGCAATCCTGTACCATTTACCTGGGAATAAGCCCTTTGGGCTTCATTTCTGAGCAGCTATGAATATGATTGCACTCTATGAGTTGCATAGTCCAGCTTTTTATAGAAAAAGGCATTCCTTCCCTAGAGATTTTGCCCCAATTCACCTCAGTTTCAAAAGGATCAAGTTATTTGATAGAAGATAAATAAAAGTTTTAAGAAAACAAGATATGCCTATATAAACATTAATTGCTGCTGAATTGACCCCTTGTGGAAAGAGATCAATACAGGTAATCCTTGTTTAGTGACTGCCTTATTTAGTGACTGTTTGCAGTTACAACAGTGATGAAAAAGTACCTTTGCAACCAATCCTTGAATTTACAACCTTTGCAGGTCTGTAACGCAAATGAAAGCTGAAGTAAGATCATAAGTGCAGTCATGGTTTCAGTTAGTGACCACTTCATTTAATGACCACGTTGCTGGTCCCAGTTGTGGTTGCTAGATGAGGACTACCTCTAATATTTGTATTTAGATATTAATCACTGTAAATCTTAAATAGGAAAATCACTGAAATTTTAACTTTCTAAATAGTATTGATTGTGATTCTGAATTTGTCTAGAGGTATTGATGCAAAAAAGCTTTCTGGCAGATTTATTATTATTTTTATTTATTTATTTATTTATCAAACTTATCCCCACCCATCTCCCCCCAATGGGGGACTCTGGGCGGCTTACAACAGATTAAAACAATAAATAAATACATAGTTAAAATTGATTAAACACTATTGAAAGTTTTAATATGCTTCCCTACAATCCCCACCCATCTCCCCCCAATGGGGGACTCTGGGCGGCTTACAACAGATTAAAACAATAAATAAATACATAGTTAAAATTGATTAAAAAACGCATTTACACAGAGTAAAAAGAAGAGGAGAAATCCAGGAGGCTGATGGAAGCTATCATCGTCCTATATAATCCACAGTAAGAGGCCAGTATCAGCACTATTGAAAGTTTTAATATGCTTCCCTACATTAGTGGTAGCAGAGGCAATAGTCTGCAAAGATGCTTTTCTCCTTGGTGTGTTGTCTACACCAAGCCTCTTAACAAGGTGATACTTGGTTTTTCACTTGCAATCCAAAACATATCTAACTATTCTCATCTGGAAAAAACACATTGCATTATGCAGAATTTATAATATCAAAATAATTACATGACATTTGAAACTCATTGAGCATAGTGTTATAGATAGCGGATCAGATATAGAGTTATGAATACGTACAACTGGTCCTCAAAGTTCTGGCCATTGCAGCACCCCTATGGTCATGTGATCATGATCTGGCCATTCAGGTACCTGGCTCACGATTATAATGTCACAGGGAGCCACAGTCATACAATCGCCATTTGCAATCCTGCCGGCTTCCCACAAGCAAAGTCAATGGGAAAGCCAACAGGGAAGTTGCTAGTCACTCTGGTAAATTGCTCCCACTTTTTCTCCTGCCCGCAGCACCCACCCACCCACCTGCAGCCTCCGCTGGCTCTCCCAGGCCCTCCCATGATTCACATATGGCCTGCACTGACCTTTCTAGGTCCTCCCTGGCCTCCACCCCCCCATGGCACCCCACACTCCTTAGCTGGGACTCCTGCCTCTTCCCGCTTACCAACCTGTGCGACTTGGGGTTACGATGGCAACCAGGACTGCCTGGAATTGCTGTCGCTAAGCGATGTGGTCATGTGATGTTGTGCTTTATGACCACATTGCTTAGTGATAGTAAACCTGGTCCCAATTGCCGTTGTAACCTGAGGACTCCCTGTAGTGTCATGGACAGTCACCTATTGGGGATGGTGTAGTGAATCCTGAAGTGTGCAGGGGATTGGACTTGATGACCTCATTCCAACTCTATGATTCGGTGATGTCCAGGATGCATCTGAGGAAACTGGTCCTGCTTCCTGAGCAGTTATGCTGCTAGGGGTGTTTTCTAGGTCAGTCCTTTTTCCATCAGATTTGCACCATTTTGAATTATAATGACAAACTACCAGAAATTAAGTTGGAATTGCACTGATGTCCACTGCAGTTCTGTGCTTTGGATCCATATTCACAGCATAACCATCCAGAAAGTGCTGTATAATAGACTGATCTTTCTTCTTGCTCCATTATTTGCTCCTGTTACTTCTACCATCTCTAGCCTGAATCTGAGCACATGGTTAATTTCTCCAGCTGGAGGTAAAGGCTAAGGAAGAAGTGAGAATAGGAGTGGTGAGCAAGATCAAGAAGCAAATGAAAAAGTAACGTGGCCTAAAAGTAGTCTGGAAATGCTTTGGAACTGAACAATATTCTGTGCATCCTTTAAAAATATGTGTACATTACATGTATGTATAGAAGTGTACCTGGAAATAGATATCTATTATATTATGTCTGCTTTCAGCTTGGACATTTTGAACCTGCTGCCTTGTAGCTTTTCAAAGGAGTTTTCAAAGGTAGAGTTAATGTTCTGTGAGGGTAACTTACTCTTCAAGTGCACAAATGTAGGTTTAGTGGGGAGCGGAGATGCTGCAATTCAAAATGATTTCTTTGCTTTCCATTTCTCCCTTCCTAGGTACCAGATCCACACAGGTCTCCAGCACTCTATCATCCGTCCCCGACAGCCCAACTGCTTGCCTCTGAACCAGGTCACTCTCCCACAGAAGCTTCAGGAAGCCGGCTATGCTACCCACATGGTTGGCAAATGGCACTTAGGCTTTTATCGTAAAGAATGCCTGCCAACCCGCAGGGGCTTTGATACCTTCCTGGGCTCACTGACAGGAAACGTGGATTACTATACATATGACAACTGTGATGGGCCAGGAGTATGTGGGTATGACCTTCATGATGGGGAAAATGTAGCCTGGGAACAAAGCGGCAAGTATTCCACCTTCCTGTATGCCCAGCGAGTCAGAAAAATTCTGGCCACCCACAACCCCAAGGAGCCTCTCTTTATCTACATAGCATTCCAGGCGGTGCACACCCCTTTGCAGTCCCCAAAGGAATACATCTACCGCTATCGCTCCATGGGCAACGTGGCCCGACGCAAATATGCTGCCATGGTCACGTGCATGGATGAAGCTGTGAAGAACATCACCTGGGCCCTAAAGAAATACGGATACTATGACAACAGTATTATTGTTTTCTCTACAGACAATGGGGGGCAGACGTTCTCTGGGGGAAGCAACTGGCCTTTGCGAGGCCGCAAAGGGACATACTGGGAAGGAGGAGTGCGTGGCATCGGGTTTGTCCACAGTCCACTGATTAAACGCAAGCGAAGAACCAGCAGGGCACTCATCCACATAACTGACTGGTACCCAACTCTAGTGACTTTGGCTGGGGGCAACGTGTCTGAAGCAGATGGCTTGGATGGCTACAATGTGTGGCCAGCTATCAGCGAGGGCAAAGAGTCACCACGGACTGAAATCCTGCACAACATTGATCCTCTTTATAATCATGCCAAATATGGCTCTTTAGAGAACGGCTTTGGCATCTGGAACACAGCAGTACAGGCCTCTTTACGGGTAGGAGACTGGAAACTTCTTACTGGAGATCCTGGCTACAGTGACTGGATCCCACCACAGACTCTCACCAACTTCCCAGGGAGTTGGTGGAACTTAGAGCGCCTGACGGATGGGATGCGGCAGTCCGTCTGGCTCTTCAACATCACGGCTGATCCGTATGAGCGCTATGACCTGTCAGATCAGCGTCCTGATGTGGTCAGAGCTCTGCTTATTAGGCTGGTCAATTACAATGAGACTGCCATCCCAGTCAGATATCCTGCGGAAAACCCACGAGCTCACCCCGACTTCAATGGTGGCGCCTGGGGGCCTTGGGCCACAGAAGAGGAAGAAGGGTGGGAAGGAGTGCATGGAAAGCTGAAAAACAAAAAGCGGAAAAAGAAATGCAAGATCTGCAAGCTACGCTCCTTCTTCCGAAAGCTGAACACCAGACTGATGTCAAACCGCATCTGAGATGGAGTAGGCTAGGTTCTTGCCCAAAGGCAGTTCTTGGAAGAGGGTTGTTCCAAAAGATGGGAATAAGAAGGAAGGATCAGTAGAGCATTCTCCTTTCTGCTCAGGGTGGAGTGAAGTGAGGAGGACTATCACTCTCACACACACACACACACACACACACACACACACACACATTTTTAGGTAGGGATAACCAAGTCTGCCTAGCCATCCTACTTCATCTCTCCCCTAATTTCAGCACCAACGTTGGTGCTGATTCTTCAGTATGGGCAGACTTTGCAACCTCTATTTGACATAGTCCCTTCCTTTCAAATGTTACGACACGAGATGGTACTTAATGCACAAATGTTCATTCTAAAATGCTGCAGCAAAGATACCTAAATTATGCCATTTAGGAACTAGTGGGAAGGATATAAGTTCTCATTCTTTAACCAAAGATGGAATCAGTTGTTCTCTACCCATGAAAGGTATCTATTAAGGAAGAATTTGCTCTGTATTTGCTACCAACTCATGGAATGCTGACCATAAATAATCTTATATAATGTTTTTGCTCTGAGAAAGCAACTGTGGATTCTTCTCTCCCTGGAGATTGTACTGTAATTGCCTCCTTTAGTGTCTGTGGGTGGGGATACAGAAGACCTGGGACAATTATTTTTATCAGAATTAAAATGCAGATCTGGTGTGGTGCAATTTTCCCCCTTAAATATGTATGAAGCCAAACATCTTGTAAATGTGGGCAGAGACATCAGTAAAGGCTGTGTGAGTGTTGCTTGAGCTAAGAGTATAGTCTTATGTATGCAGAAAGAGCTGATAACAGCTGAATTTGTACATTGATTGACAGATCTGTTTACCTCCACTGAGCAACTGCTCTTGTGTAGTTCTTTTACTATGCAGATTTTCTTTTTTGCAGTTTTGAGTGTACTGCAGATGATCTCTTGTTCATCTACATATCTATTCAAGACACAGAAGAATAATTGCAAGTTGCTTCCATACGTCAATTTGTATGTAGAACTAACTATGCAAATAATGCATTCTTATGATTAGGTCACAAATAGTTAAACAAAGCCCTACTGTTTGGGGAGCAGATGCTTGAATTTCTTCACAATGATAGAATTAATTGCTACAAATGTGAAGATTACTAGCTGAGTTTATTTTTTTAAGAAAAAGAAAACAGTTCATTTATCTATTAATGTGAGTTAATCATGGTGACTGACTGATTGATTGATTGGCTATGTGGTATCAGGCCAGTGTTGACTCTTAGCAACCACATAGATACATTTTCACCATGATGATCTGTCCCTAATTTGGTCCTTCAGGTCTTCCAACAGTGCACTCATCACCACTGTAACTGAGTCCATCCATCTTGCTACCAGTCTTCCTCTTCTCTTTCCTTCTACCTTCTCCAGAGAACTAGATCTTCACATAATGTGTCCAAAGTAGGATACTTTGAGCCTGGTCATTTGTGGCTCAAGTGAGAACTCTGGGTCGATTTGTTCAATGATCCATTTGTTTGTTTTCTTGGCTGTCCATGGTATTCTCCTCCAACACCACAGTTCAAAGGCATCAATATTCTTCCTATCCTGCTTCTTCAAAGTCCAACTTTCATTTCCATAGAGTGTCACAGGGAATACCCTGGTTTGTACAATTCTGAACTTTGTAGGTATAGTCACATCATAACATTTGAATATCTTTTCCAAGGCCTTCATGACTACTCTACCAAGTGCTAGTCTGCGGTGTGTTTCTGGACTGCTTGTTCCTTTACTCATGATGGTTGATCCTAAAAGGCAGAAGCTATCTACCATCTCGATATCTCAGTTAATCATGGTAGTGAACTTAAATCTTCATATTCAAAACCATAGAATCAAATGTTGAGGATAAAGAGGAACTGCCTACAAATTTCCAGTGGCATCTGTCTGGCACCTGAGGGACACACAGACTGAATTAAGCTGATTGCCGGTCCGTCCAGCAGAAAAATTCTTGCCATCTTACATTTTAGGTATGTTGACATTTGCTCTGTACATGGAGCTTGTGGTTTCTAGAAAGGGATTTAGCAATCCCTGGAAAAATCAGGATATTTGGCTCTTGTGCAAGCTTGAAAAAAAGTTTGGCCTCCTTAAAAGTCACATTCATTTGAATGAATCAACTCCTTAAAGTAGCTGTACCTTTTTTCAGAGACCATGCAGAGACCCTGGACAAGAGGAGCAGCTTTAAGGCATAGTAGAGAGGTGTTGTGCTCCCATATGGTCCAAAAGACTTCTGAGTCATTTTCAAAGGGTGCTCAGCCCTAATGATGATATATTGCCCTCAGTCTCTAAGGCAATATATACCTTTGAATACCAGTTGACAGGGAATATAAGGGTTTGGTGATGCTTGAAGGCTTTCCATGGACATCTGTTGGGTTACTGCAGGAGCAAGATGATGGGCTGAATTTTCTTAGGTCCATTATGCACTTGCTGCGGACTATATATCTCTTCTTCCTCTCCTCCCGTCTACATTGCCAAACAGAGGAATAAGCTTGTGAAGGTTACTTTTAAGGGGAATAGTTTTCCAAAGCCAGGTGCTAAATGTCTAAATGTCTATTTCTTTTCTCTTTTCTGGACTGCTGCTTCCCCCTTCTCCTTTTTTAAATGCTAGGCAGCATTGCTTTCCTGCAGCTTCCTTGGAGCAAAGGTGCTCAAGGGTTGTAGGCAGGCTTATTTAGACATGTTTTGATAAGCAGTGAAATGCTGATGTTGATTTAGAGTAGTGTTGACCTTCCGGCCTAAGAAGAGGATGATATCTGTGGTTTGAAGGAAGCCCCTGGAAGCCCCTGGCTTCCACATTCCACAATGGCTGCCTGGATCACACAATTTCCTTTTTTTCTTTTTTGTTGAAACAGTGCCCATGTGTATACCACCAAAGTGGATAGTATCTGAAAAAAGAGGGCAAACAGCTTTAAAATCAGTTTACCCTGGGAGCCTGATTTTATTTACACTTACATAATGCATTTTACATTTTTTCCCCACAGGTTTTAGTTGGTACAGTGTGTGTGGGCGAAAGCCCTGCTGTGAATTAAAAAAAAAAAAATGTTATTTTTGTCCCTAGAGAATGAGCCCTGTTAGGACTTGTCAGCTCATTGATGAGCTGTGTGAGGCTTTTTTTCCCTTTCATGTCACTAAAAGCTGTGACAGTTGGCAGGACTCAGACTACCCAAGTATACAATGTGCTCCTTTTCATAGTACTCTGGAGATCTGTTTGTGCCTTCCGAACAAAGTGTAGGTTTGCACCATAGGGCTACTTCCATGTTCTCCCAGAATAATGGCTTAACTTAATTATGGGTTTGGGAGAAAATGTAAAGAGAGGAGAAGGAGAAGGAGAAGGAGAAGGAGAAGGAGAAGGAGAAGGAGAAGGAGAAGGAGAAGGAGAAATGCGATTGTTCCTTAGAAGTGGCTAACATGCAGTCGATCTATTTTATTTTTTCAGAGGCATTTCTAAAGAATTGTCCTTATTTGTCAATGAAGTAGGTCAGCTTTTCCAAACCAGGAGGAACAAAGGATGGATAGAGCTGACTGCTAATTAAGTGGTGAATTAACACACTGCATTACTTTATTCTTTTGGACAGCCCTGGTAAATGAAGAGATGACAATGACATTTACATTTATTAAAAAGCTAGGGAGATGGTAAAATGCATTTGGTGCTTACATAAACATGCTGGCAGATGTCCACTTCTTAAACAGTTACCTACATTTAGTCATTGTAGGAGTACCATGTTAGTCCATGGTAGCAAAAAATTAGAAGGCATCTGGTAACACCTTTTCAAACTAACAAATTTTTATCATGTGCCTATAATTATTTTTACTACATTTAGTAAAAAATAAATAAATAAAAAACTATGCACAACAGAGCATTTTATCAGAACAAACATAGGCAGTCTTAAGGAGCTTTATATATTTACTTGATTATGAGCCATCAAGCCAATATTACCTCTTAGGTACTGCATAGATTTTCTCCATGGTCTTTCAGGCCTTCTTCCAATGATGCACCCATCATCACTGTAAATGAGTCCATCTGCCTTGCTGCTGGTCATCCTCTTCCTCACTTTTCTTCCACTTTTCCCAGCATTAGAGCCTTCTTCTCTTACACACACACACACACACACACACACACACACACACACACACACACATATTCCATCAATTCCAGGTTCTTTTGTCTCAGGAACAGGTTCTCTTCCAGGTTCTCTTGTCTCAGCAACATAGGAAGAAGGAGTATGAGAAGATGGAAAAGTACGAGGGCCTGAAGGAAGAACTAGAGAGGATGTGGACAGTAAAGGCCAAAGTGGACCCAGTGGTGGTAGGAGCACTCGCAGCTGTGACTCCGAAGTTGGGAATGTGGCTCCAATAGATCCCAGGGACAACATCAGAGCTCTCTGTCCAGAAGAGGGCAGTGCTAGGAACAGCTCAGATACTGTGCAGAACCCTCAAATGCCCAGGCCTCTGGTAGAGAACCTGAGATTGAGGAAGACACAGACCCCGCCCATAGGGGTGAGAGGGGAATATATATATATATA